TTTTGATGGCATTGTTTGCCACTAAATATATTGTTCATAAAAGTGGACGTATGGCAGGGATGGATGGCATAGAAAGGTCTCATCAACAGTGGGTGTTCCTATCAATCAAAGCATTTCAATTGTTTCAGTTTTAAATGCATCTCATTTTATAACAACTCAATCTTTCACTTAACAATTCAACACATTTACTAATACTATAGAAAACTGAATTATATTTGTAATCTATAAATAAAATTCATATAAATTATGCTATTTTTGAAATCCTCAATAAAATGATAGAAATATATTTTATCAAATTATAAATACCTGTCCATTGAAAGTAAGTGAAAGATTATTCTATATTTTCATTAAATATAAGTACCATTTGTGTTAGCATTGATCCATATTTGCGATAAAGTGCTGATTCGTCGGTCATATCCACACCCGAAGCATCACTTGTCTGTTCCGATGTGTAAATACTCTTTGGAATCCATTTCCAAATGTCTTCAATTCTAACTAATGAACCATCTGTTGAATCAAAAGGTATTTTAATTGCAATATTATGTATTAAATACTGTATTTTAACGGTTGAACTCTAATAATAATCAATATAATCATTAAAACAATAAATAATTTCTGTAGTAATTGTAGTTATCATAAAAATGATAAATATTTTCTAAATGAAAATTAATAATAAAATAAAGACCTGTTTTAGTGACCGTAAAGTACAGCACAGGAACGGAATAACTTATACTATAAACGATATGGTATTCAAATTTAGCGATCGTTTCCGTCGATGTGTTCACTTCTTGTGGATCAACGGTTGTGTCCAAACTCTCAACATTAGATACTTTGTCGACGACTGGAAGTGCTTTGAATTCTGTTTTAGTCATATACACGCCTCCGACGTCTGGCTATTATTATTAAAACAAATTTGAATAGATTTTATTTAAATATTGAATTTAAAATAATTTATTTTTGAATTAATGATAAATATATCAAAAATTTAAACAAATGATTGTCAAACGGACAACAAAAACAATATTGAATTAGATTTTAAAATGCATTAAAATGTGAAGAAAATGAGAAAAATCACAAATAATGAGATTATTTAAAGACAAGGACGCGATCGCCGAAGACTAAGTGCTGAACGATCGGAAATTTGGGCAAATATTCCTTGCAATACATGTTAAGTAATCCGCGATTGATTTTGGACCAGTCGTCCACTCCTGAGATGTTCCAGAGTTGGTTCGAGTGCTCAGCGAAAGGCCCTCTTTTCACTTCGTGGATGAAATGGATGGCCGAATAGAACATGAGGTCGTCTTTGTGTCGTTTGGCCACTTCAAGTCGTCCACTCCTGAGATGTTCCAGAGTTGGTTCGAGTGCTCAGCGAAAGGCCCTCTTTTCACTTCGTGGATGAAATGGATGGCCGAATAGAACATGAGGTCGTCTTTGTGTCGTTTGGCCACTTCCGGGTCGGGGAATGAATGCGGTTCGACATACGGGTGACCCACCAGTTGTGCGGATCCGAAATAAAAGGGCAGAAACTGGAAGTCGTCCAAAGAGAAGGCGCCGTGACTTCCGGCCGGTTCTAAGCGATACCGTAATTGAATTTTGCGTACGAGTGGCAGATATAGGACACCGAACACTGTCAACAACTGATGGCTGAGACCGCGGACCACCTCTTTGTTCAGCACTTCATCGCTTGTGTTAATTAATTTCAATTTATATAAACCCATGAGAAAGATAACGAAACACATCTCATGTCCGGTGCCGTAGTCTATGCGCTGTTGGTTACCAAACGAGTCCAACAAATAAGGTTTCAGTTCTGCCACTTCTTCGGCGGTCAGCACTTGTTTCAGTTGTTCCTCGACTTCGGTCTCCATACGAGTGAACCAAATTCTGAACGCTTTGTTCCCAAACCTCTGGTTCTTGTCGTCGTCCAGAGGTTTCACTTCGTCGACCAGCGCTGACAGTGTGTCCAACAGCGCCACCAAAGACACCAACACTTCTTCGGTGATCAGTTGTCGCCGATTGAGACCCTTCTCGTGGACTCCTTTCGCGAATT